CTGCAATCAGAACATTGCATGTGTTGAAGTTGTTTTAATGCAAACCAAAGATGCCTTTTAAAAAACAAGTCCCCAACCGAATGATGAATGAATGTTGCTTACTATTTTACTTCTATGTATTGTTGTGTCTATTGTCTGTATACCCCCCCCCCCCCTTATTTTATGTAAGCCGCCCTGAGTCCCCTCAGGGAAAAGGGCGGCCTATAAGCATTAATAAATACCTAAAATACCTAAATACCTATATAATTCCTAATTTAGGCACTTTCCATATTTGTGAACTTTCAATTCCTAGAATTCCTTACCAGACAGGTTTAATCCAGCATAGCTGTTTAAGGATCAGCAAACGTTGGCTGGTCTGTGAATGTAATTAAACCTCAAATATAGTTATTCAAAATTTAAGTCTCCAAGAGTAATGATTACAATACGATTATGACTGAAACTTCATTTAAGGGGAATTGAAATAGGTAGGCTCAGAAACTGTTTCCTGGCAAAGGTTAGTTTTAAGAGGCGAGAGAGGTAGCATAATATATTTAAGAGGGATGACCACCGTCCTATAGGAATACTGGGTGGGCTGGAAGAACAGGTAATACAGAGGACACCTGCTTTGCACCTAGGAAATCCCAGGTTTGATGCTCAAGAAACTCCTCCCCCAAATCCTGGAGAGCTGGTGACAATGTAAATACTGGAATTGGCAGTTTCCTCTGTTAGAAGATAAGCAGGCAATTCAATTCATAGTGGCAGAAAAATCCACACCAGTTTGGTGCTGTTGTAAAAGAATAGAAACCAGAGTAGAGTAGGTGTCAGGTTGGAGGGTAGAAGGTTTTCAGCAGAGACCAAGAAAGGAATAAACCCAAACAAAGCCTCAAAGGTAGGAAGGGTGGGTTAAGATCTGGAGTAAAAGCACATTAAGAGCTTCATGAGTGTTGTTTATGGAGTGTTTAACCTGGTTTCTTAAATTAACCCATTTCCAGGATCCGTCCCATAAACTAAGGCAGGGAACTGAGAGGGCTGGGAAAATATCCACAGACCCCACACATCCTGGACATAAATTGTTTCAACTTCTGCCCTCAAAACGACGCTATAAGGCACTGTACACCAGAACTAGACACAAGGACAGCTTTTCCCCCAAATGCCATCACTCTGCTTAACAACTAATTCCCACAACACTGTCAAATAATTTACTAAGACTTTATTACTATTCTTCTTCTCTTCCTTCCTAGTATTTATCTCTTCCCACTTATGACTATAACCATGTTGCTTGTATCTTTACAATTTATATTGTTTTGTTTACTATTACCATTTGATAGTTTATTAGTAACCTTGACTATCACTAAGTGTTGTATGTTTTTATTTGTGATGAATGTATTTTATTGTCCTTATATAGACTGACAGCATCTGTACCAAAGACAAATTCCTTGGTGCCCAATCACACTTGGCCAATAAAGAATTCCATTCCATTCTATTCTATTCTGTTAAGCCACAAAAACCATAAATGTAGCAGCTCACGAAATTGCCACTGCTAGATTTGAAACCGGCCTGATTAAAGATGTTGCGTCCACACAACCAACACTTGTTATTCTTGCTGAGTCCTTGAGCACTTCCAGTCGCTTTCCAGTCAGTCAGTCAGTCAGTCAGTCAGTCAGTCAGTCAGTCTCTCTCTCCCCCCTCCCCAATGCTTAAAATCTCAGGCTGCCTGAGGCTTCTTTAGGTGCACTTTGCACACTCTCAGAGGAACTGTTGTTTCAAAATGCAGTGCATTCAAATGGCTGTGCAGGCTCCCCCCCCCCAAAATGTAACCTTTAAGCAGGCCTACAAATTTGAGATCCTTATGTGAGATGCATAAAAGTGAAATGTCCCTAAAGAGGCCTTGAGTTTCCTCATTTAAACTATATTATAAAGCGCTATGTTTAACTATAGAGAAACTCCTAGTACCATTGGTTATCTTTCATTTGACCTACTATGGCTAGGATAAGCAGAAACTGCCATGCTTACTACTCTGCATGACCCATTTTGAATACAGAGGCTGAATATGCTGCTTGATCACCTGTCAGAAATGGTGTAGAGTCTCCTGCTTGGAGGGGGGGCTGGATTAGATGACCTACAAGGTCCCTGTTAATCAAACACTGCCTATTGCACAGGTTGCAGCTGAACCTCACCAACAGCGCATCTGCCACAGACATTTCCCTTCCTCTCCTCTTTGTAACAGGCAGACATTAGGTAGGTGAAGCTTGCCCACCTCCATTGCACAGAGGGAATAACTGAAGGGCCCTGACACTTGGATTATATCTCCCATTACTGTCTCAAAAGGTGCTCTTTTATAAAAAATTAAATTTGAGACAACTAGGACCTTGGATGATAAGAATCTCCAAAGACATGGTTGCAGGAACAGGGTATGTCTAGAGAAGCAACCTAGAACTAAAAAGAAATATCATGTCATTAGAACAGTTAATCAGTGGGATGACTTGCCACCAGAAGTTGTGACTGCTCCAACACCGGAAGTCTTTAAGAAGAGGTTGCATAACCATTTGTCTGAAATGGTATATAGGGTTTCCTGCCTAAGCAGGAGGTTGGACTAGAAGACCTCCAAGGCCCCTTCCAACACTGTTATTCTAAAAGTATGTGACAAGTCCCATAAATCTTGCTGGCTGGGGGTGATGGGAGTCATAGTAGCTCGACACAGAGAAAGGGGGGAGGGGGAGAGAGAGAGAGGGAGAGAGAGGGGAAGAAAGGGGGAGGGAGGGAGAGGGGGATAGAGAGAGGGGGGCTCGAAGCACTGATCCGCGGGCGGCCACGTGACCGCGCCCAAGCCCTATCACGTGATTCTCCTGCGCCGCCTCCTGGAGCGAGAGGACGCGGCGCGATGGTGGCGCTGAAGCGGGGGCTGCCGCGGCTGGTGGCTTCGCTGCGGCCGGTGAGCGAGCCTAAAGGCCAGCGGGCGCGGCTCCTCCCGGGCCTTCTGCGGGGTGGCAGCCTCGAGCGCTGCCGTGGCTGGGAAGGAGGCTCCATACGGGGCTTGGACCTTGGGGCAGCTTCCGCGCGCGCTGGGGACTACAGCTTCCAGCAACCCTGGCGCAGAGGGTGAATGGCAGAGGATTCTGGGAGTTGCAGTTGCAGCAAAGAATTATGATCACCTGGAGGGCAGTCTCTCCTTGCCTGGGTTTCTTAGCTTGCAAAGCATTCGCTTTAGATCAGGGGTCCCCAAACCTGGTCGTTTTAAGACTTGTGGACTTCAATTCCCAGAATTCTCAAGCCAGCATAGCTGGCTGGAGAATTCTAGGAGTTGAAGTCCACAAGTCTTAAAGTGGAGAAGTTTGAAGACCTCTGCTTTAGATACTGACTTAAGGTTTAAGGTTGGCTGTTGGGTTTGTGGGCTGTGTTTTATTTGTGTTGGGAGAACTCCCACCTGCTTGATTCGTTTGCCAGTGCAAAATATTTGGAAAAACTCCCAAGCTTCGCCTGAGCCAGAGGGGGTTTGTGTTGTTTGCACTCCGGGATCAGAACAAGTTGGGTCGTGACATGGGTTTCTGCGAGCCCTGAAGTGTTCTGAGATATTTGGGATAAAAGTCAGCCTGCTCAATAACAACATGGGTAGAACATGTGCACACCTCCTTAGGATATGAGTGTGCATGCGTGAGTTATGCCTGAAGCAGGGAGCTGCGGTTGCAGCTTTGAGCCTTCGACTTTGGCTGGGAGTACTGGGGAAAGAGGTGATTTCCACATGCACAACTGTGATATGTGGCTGCAACATGGGCAGGATAAGAATAGTATCTTTAACTTTTCCCAGGACTTATGATGCACTCATAATGATTGCTTTTAGAAGGACAGATCCTGAAGAGGAAACTCAAGTACTTTGGCCCTCTAATGTGAAGGAATGACTCACTGGAGAAGAGCCTGGGAAAGACTGAGGGCAAAAGAAGAAGGGGACAGCAGAGAAGGAGGTGGTTGGATGCAGTCACCGAAGCAGTCGGCATGAGCTTTAATGAACTCCAGAGGATGGTAGAGGACAGGAAGGCCTGGACAAACATTGTCCATGTGGTCACAATGGGTCAGACACGACTTCACAACTAACAACAATAACATGATGCACTCCAATTTGTTTGCTGGCTAGGTTTTTTGGGAGTGTGGGTGGGTCATTCTTATCCTAAGCTAAGTATGGTCCACTTTTTACTTTGTGGAACTGTGCTTGTTGTTGTTGTTGTTGTTATTTTGAAAAGGAAAGAAATGGGTCAGACGATGTAGCCTATGTATTCTCGGCATGACCACCATTGTGCCCAAAATTTCTGTTGCGAAGCAAGAAGCTGAGTTTTGCCGCCGTTTCATGACCTTTGCCATAGATGTTAAGTGAATCATTGCAGTTGTCGATAACATATTTGCTAAGTGAATCCAGCTTCCCTACTGACTTTGTTTGTCAGAAGGTTGCAAAAGGTGACCATATGACCCTGGGATACTGCAATCGTCATAAATATGAGTTGCCAAATGTCTGAATTTTCATCATGTGACCATTGTGATGCTGCAATGGTCATAGGTGTCAAAAACAGTTGTCACTTTTTTCAGTGCTGTTTTAACTTTCAACAGTCACTAAATCAATTGTAAGTCGAGAACTACCTGTATATGCAGGGTTAGGACTTTCTGCTAGGACTTTTATGTGGGTGGAGATGATGATTTAAATAGTCATGCTTCAGTAGCACTCAAACCTTTGAGCCTCTTTCTCCAAATCACTCACTTATACTGCTTCAAGGACATTCCCAGGTTGCCTGTCCAATGCCTGTTTACATTCATGAACAAACAACGTGGGAAAGGCTTTGCAACAGCCAGATTGAGCTTTCTGGCAGGCATGGCTGCCTCAGTGCTTTGTGGAGGTGTGCATTGATTGTGCCCATAAGCTTCATGAAGTTTTTTGTATGCTTTGTTCAGCCTTAAATCTCGTGTCTTTCATACCTGAAAATGTGCAGAAACATAACTAGTTTTTAATTAGCAGGGAAGGGTTCAGAGGCCACTAAATTGAGGCTTGGGAACCAAAGATAGCTACAGAGCCTCAGATTACCCACTCCTGTCTTAAACGAAGAAAGCATCCTATAATACAATTATGTCTATCTTAAAAATGCACATCAGAAGATGTGAGGTAGCCAGAAAGGATAGCTGAAAAAAGTTGACATATAGGCAGATTTGTTAACTACCACCAATTTCACAATGAACTTTTAACTTTGAGGTTTCCTGCAGCATAGCTTTAGTTCCCTGGAACACAGTGGTTTTCAAAAACAGATGTTTGAAAACAACAGCCATATTCTGCATTGAAGAAGTGTGTATAATATCCGCATGCAGGAATGTCTTACGACAGTGGTGAATTACACCCCAAATGAAGCAATATAAAAGGAGAAACCAAGTCAAATCACAGTACAGTAGTAGGAAGCAAGGCAGAGCCATCCTAAGGGAGGTAGAAAGCTACCTGATTTGGGATCCTCTAGTTTAACATTGCCTGAAATCTGAGACAGTGATAGTCCATGATTTCTAAAAGCTCTTTCCCAGCCCTGTCTGGATGTGCCAAGACTGCCTCAGGGACCTTGTGCTTCAGAATGGATTCTCTATTGCTGTGCCAAGGCACTTTTTATTTTCCAAACGTGTGACTCGGGCTCGCCAGTGCTACTCAATGAAGCATCTGTAATTGGATGCCAACTCTGTACAATCGTTTTGCAAACAAAATTCATTGGAATGGAAGCGGTATTCCAAAAGGTTAGTCATGAAATAGCCTTAGCTGCTTTGGACTTTGTTGGGAGGGCAAGGTAATTTTTTTAAATACAGGAACAGGAGTAAATTGAAAAAAAAATGCTTGAAATTATAAGTGCCAGCCTTGTGCAGCTAATCGGATCTTCCTGGGCCTGATGTTTTCTAAAGACAAACTACAATCCCATGATTCTCAAGGAGTTATAATCAGACACATCTGGAGTCTGAAAGGTTAAAGAATATTAACGCAACTATCGCTAGCAAAATTGCATCTCTTGCAGAATCACAAAATAATTTTTCTTCTTAACATTTGATACACTCAGGATGCTAGATGGTCTACTGAATTGGCATTCTTTTCTTTCCCTTGTTTTACAGCTCAGTTTATCAGCAGCTGGAACATTTCCCAAGCATGTGAAAATAGTTGAGGTCGGTCCACGGGATGGTTTGCAGAATGAAAAGGCAAGTGACCTCTGCTAAGCTGTGTTTGGGCTGTGGCTGAAGTTTGAAATAAGTGGCTTTGGTGGTTTTATGCTTGTGAAATTGATGTTTTGACATCAGTGCTATTTTGATTCTTCTCCTAGGTAAAGTATTGGCATAGCTTAAAAATTCAACCTCAAGTCTATGTTCCCAAAATTCCTATCAGTTTAATTACTTGAAATATGCTGGATTGTGCCAGTAAATCAATGCTTATCAAAAATACCCATTTGGGAGAGTGGGTTTGGACTTATGACCATGTGATTTGCTTAATCTGCCCTAGAAATGCCCAAAAAATCAGGTCCAGCCACACAGTGTTCTAACTTATGACTGCAATAATTTATGACTGAAATTCTGCTGCCAATTGTGGTTATAAATTGAATACTGGTCGTAAGCAATAAGGTTGTTAAGTGAGTTTACATATGACTATGCCTGATTTAAAAGGGGTGCAGTGGCTCAGTGGCTAAGACACTGATCTTGTAGATCTGAAAGGTCGGCAGTTCAGCAGTTCAAATCCCTAGCGCCACATAACAGAGTGAGCTCCTGTTACTTGTCCCAGCTTCTGCCAACCTAGCAGTTCGAAAGCATATAAAAATGCAAGTAGAAAAATAGGGACCATCTTTGGTGGCAAGTTATCAGCGTTCGGTGTTTAGTCATGCCGGCCACATGACCACGGAGACATCTTCGGACAGCACTGGCTCTTCGGCTTTGAAATTGAGATGAGCACCTCCCTCTAGAGTCAGGAACGACTAGCACATATGTGCAAGGGGAACCTTTACCTTTACCAATGCCTGATTTTACAACCACTTTTGTTTTGGTTGTTAATCAAATCTGGCTTCGCCCATTGACTTTGTTTTTGGAAACCAACTGGGAAGTAAATGGTGGTCACATGAGCTTTTGTGAATACACGTCAGTTGCCAAGCACCCAAACTGCAATCATGGGGATGCTGCAATGGTTATAAATACAAAGACCAGTCATAAGTCCATAATTTCAGCACTGTTCTAACTTTGCACAGTTGCTAAATAAGTGTTCATATGTCGGGGACTTACCTGTATGCAGAATCACAAGTAGGGAGCTTTCTTGCAATGGTCAGTCTCAAAGGCTGGCTGGCTGGCATTGGCAAACCTGAGAAAAGGAAGTGTTTACAAATCTGAATGATGTCACAACGTCAACAAAATTAAATCCGGCAAATGTGTTTCTGTTTATTATAATAGGTATGTTGTTTCTGTGTTCCTGCTGGTTTGTGGGCTCATTTTAAAAATCCACAGTTAGGGAAGATACAAAGGAGAAAAAAACAGAAAGGGTTTTAGAATGTAGTGATTCAGCCACAACTAAATGTTGAGAAGGAAATGCAATTACCGTGTTTCCCTGAAAATAACAGTCTTATTTCCTTTTGACCTCCCCCCCCCCCAAAAAAATAAGCCCTCAGCCTTATTTTCAGGAAGGTCTTATTATTTTTGAGGTGCAGAAGGTGGCGAGCGTGGTTACCTCATGGCTGCTGCTGTGTTGCAATATTTGGGGGGGGGGGCTTATTTTAGTGCATGCGCTCAAAAGCCTGGTTGGGCTTCTTATCTGGGGAAGGCTTGTTTTTGGAAAAATAGGGTATGGAATTGCTGTTAAAGGGAAAATATCTGTCTTTCTCTTTTCAGAATATTGTTCCCACCCAGGTGAAAATTGATTTAATCAACATGCTGTCAGAGACGGGTCTCTCCGTTATAGAAGCCACCAGTTTTGTTTCTCCAAAATGGGTACCTCAGGTCAGTTATGGAAAAGGCCATAAAGGATTTGGCTACACAAGCTACAGTTACTTTGCTCCTTTGCAAGATCTAGTTCGGCTTATTTGACATACCTTAATTAAAGCACAGTCTTTGGCTTAGTCTTTGGTATAAATGAATGTCTCAGCTTGGTTTCTTTCATAAGGAGAGGCACAATTTATGTTTTTCCAGCTAATCGCAGTAAATGCTGAATCAAAGGGCTTGGAGGTGTTCTACACCAGGAACGTTGAACCTTAGCAACTTTTAAGACTTGTGGACTTCAACTCCCAGAATTCTGGGAATTGAAGTCCACAAGACTTAAAGTTGCCAAGGTTGGACATTCCTGTTCTCCTTTTACAAAGTGTGACTAGTCATCTCATTTAGGCAAGAAAAATAAAATGCACAGGTACAGTATATGTGGTACCTTGCTCAATAGTAGCAACTGTGAGAGGGATCTCGGAGTCCTAGTAGACAACCATTTAAATAGGAGCCAGCCGTGTGCAGCAGCTGCCAAAAAAGCCAACACAGTTCTAGGCTGCATAAACAGAGGGATAGAATCAAGATCATGTCAAGTGTTAATACCACTTTATAATGCCTTGGTAAGGCCACACTTGGAATACTGCATTCAGTTTTAGTCGCCACGGTGTAAAAAAGATGTGGAGACTCTAGAAAGAGTGCAGAGAAGAGCAACAAAGATGATGAGGGAACTGGAGGCTCAAAACATATAAAGAACAGTTGCTGGAATTGGATATGGCTAGTTTAATGAAAAGAAGGACTAGGGGAGACATGATAGCAGTGTTCCAATATCTCAGGGGCTGCCACAAAGAAGAGGGAGTCAAGCTATTCTCCAAAGCGCCTGAAGGCAGGAAAAGAAGCAATTGAAACTAATCAATGAAAGAAGCAACTTAGAACTAAGGAGAAATTTCCTGACAGTTAGAACAATTAATCAATGGAACAAAGTTGCCTCCAGAAGTTGTGAATGCTCCAGCACTGGATAGCCATTTGTCTGAAGTGGTGTAGGGTTTCCTACCTGAGCAGGGGGTTGGACTAGAAGACCTCCAAGGTCCCTTCCAGCTCTTGTTATTCTATTCTAGTACTGCATGTGGCGGGATTATTTCTAAGGAATTTAAGCCTGCTGTTTGTTCTTCCTTTTTGGTACCTAGATGGCTGACCACACAGAAGTTATGCAAGGCATCAGGAAGGTCTCTGGGGTCAGCTACCCCGTCCTCACGCCGAACCTCAAGGGATTTGAAGCAGCGGTAAGAGAAATCTGCAGTCGAAAAGCTCCTAGGCCCTTGCGCTAGTAGGGAAGGTACGAATGAGTGGAGCTATAAGACCTTTTGAACTCTTCTCTCACAGTGCTCTTCGATAGGCACAGGAAGTCCTCAGGTAATGACCATAAGGGAGCCTTCCCATTACAATCGTAAGTGGTGACAATCTTGCCATCTTTTCTCTGGTGGTTGTTAAGCAAATCCATGGTTTGCTACGGGCCAGATTTACTGAACATCGGAAGTAAAAGTGCCGGTTTTCAACAAAACTGTCTTAAATTGAGGTCACATGAACACAGGGCCCTGCTAATAGCTGTAAATATGGCCTGGTTGCTAAGCACACCCAAAGTGCGGTTATATGACAATGGGGGATCCCCTCATTATTCCCTCCCTCCCGTCAGAACTTTGAATCCAGGTCGCAAGGACCTCCCAGTTAGGTCCATCAGAAGTTCAAATGGTCACCAAGCAACCAGTCGTAAGTCGAGGAATATCTATCTATCTTCTCTGTCTGAATTGAAAAAGCAGATCCAATAAAGCAATAGGAAGGCAATGCAGAATGGAGAATTATAAAAGCCAAACAGGAAAGCTGATACAGAGGGCTGTATAATTACTTTATATTGTTATGTATGTTTTGTGTTTTGTTTGTTCTTGTGGAGGTTTTCTTTCTGTTTTCAAAGATTAAAACATTCAATCAAAATTATTTAAAAAAGAAAAAGAAAAAGCAGATCCATATTTTAAGCCAGGCACATCATTAGCCTAGGCTGAAGTGCTACAGCTGGCTCTCCCATTTGCTGCTTTGGCACTGCATTTCCGGTTTCTCAGCCAGAGTATCTGCTTCCCTGTGTCTTGAGGAAGTGGTTGTCTGGAACAGTTTGTTTCTCAGCAAGTTGGTGGTGTGTCCCACCCGCAGCAGATTCGGACAGTGAGGAGGTTGGGGAAGAACATGGCCAGTCCTGGAGTCTGGGGAAGGCTCTGATGAGGGCTCTGTGTCGGAGGCAGAGGGGGGGGCAGAGCCATCTGACAGTTATCAGCT